ACGGGTCTGGGTGCAAAGCAAGCGATACAGCATTTTTCCTCTGAAAGAGCAGATTCCTCCGCTGAATCCCTGAGTCCCCCGCAGGGAGGGGAAAGCTAAATTTAAAGATGAGCTAATTGGGACGGTCTGATCTGGCCTCATGCTCCAGCTGAGGATCTGCAGGGGCCACACCACCAGCTCAGCCGTCCCCACATCTGGCTGCAGCTGCCCTACCGCGCCTGCTTCTCCAAATCCAGAAAGCATAATCATGGACACGTTCTCCTCGGGGTCTATCATGTGCCCCACACTGCGGTACACCAGTGGGTGAGCCCGGGAGCCAGACAGGCCGAGTCCAAAGCCCATTTCCTGTGACCTAAGGTCAAGCTCAGCACTCTCTAAGCGTCAGCTTTCCCATCGTACGAGAGTGCTCCCCTCATAGGTGACAGGCACTGCTCATCCTCTCCCCTCCCCAATATTCATTGGCTTAAAAAATATGTTCTGAGCACCTACTATGTGCCAGGTACTGAAGTCACAGCCGTGAACTGTCCAAAGTCCCTGCACTGGGACTTTGCCCTGGGGAGCTGATGTTCTAGAAAGGATGCAGTCAGTAAACAAGATGAACAAGTAAGATACACGGTTTATCAGACCATGGCAGCTCTACGGAGCCCAGGAGAGATGGGAAGGGTCGGCGGGGTGAGATACTCCGTGGAGCTGCTGGCCCCATGTCCAGTATTAGCCATTCATTTGGTTGCAAGTGGCAGGAATGCCCTCCTGAGCAACCAAAAAGCAAACGCTTGCGTCCTACCCGAGGCACAGAACGCACTCCAGGTGTGGCCGAGTCCAGGGACTTGAATTCTTCCTGTGAGATGCCATCTCACCCTGCCTCTAGGATCTGCTTCCTCCTCCTCAGGCAGGCTGATGGGCTCAGTCACCAGGCCAGGCCCATGCCCATCACACAGCGAGAGGAGGCAGCTAGGACCTCCAGGGAGGGGTCCTTTCAGGCATAGAAGTGTGGTCTTACCCTGAGAAAGGCGTGGGGGAAGGGGTCTGCAAAGGCTCCATAAAAATGGTGCCAGTTGAGATGAGCATGGAAGGATGAGATGGAGATGCCAGCTGGGTGGGGGAAGTGCATTCCAGGCAGAGGACAGCAGTGCAAAAGTATGCAAATTCCTGTAGTTTCCAAACTGTTGGGTGTTTGGTGGGAGCAGAAACAGACAAGTCCAGAGAGGTAGCAGGAGGCCAAACATGAAGAGCCCTGAATGCCAGACTGTTTTAGGCTCAGTCCCACGGGCAGCAGAAGCTACGGAAGAATTTAAAGCAGGGAAGGGCCACAGTCCCATTTTCCTCCCTTGGTGATAAAATGGAAGGTGAATGGTGGCAAGGAGGAAAACTAGAGGCATCCGGAAGACCAGGGAGGAGCTGCTGTATCACCAGCCAGCACCAGACGGGTGGCCTGGGGAATCAAGTTGACGGGACTAAAATATGGAGGGTGAAGAGCCGGGGACTGGGAAATTCCGGTGTCTGATCCAAGGATGTGGCTACCAGCGGGCTTCAGGCAGGTATAAGGGAGGGGAGAGTCCCCCAGCTCTCGGCAGCAGGCAGGAGACACTGGCGTTGCCATGTCCGGGGATTGGAAGACCCATCGTCTTTGGAATTCAACGTGGCCAATTCTTGGATGCCTCCAGGGATGGGGAGCTCACCCCTTCAATAGTTCTGACTTAAATAAACTGGGCTCAAATTTATACCCTTAGAGTTCGGCGCAGCTCAGTGCCCCTGTCCACACCTTGGGGGGCTCCCTGTACCCTGGGCCAGCCCTAGGAGATTCGGGCACCTGACACTGTCTCCTTAAGTCTATCCTTCCCCTGTCTCACACTTGCTTCCTCTGACCATGGGACAAGGACCCCTGAGGGTCCTGGGGAGGATGTCGGTATCACTCGGACACTAAGTATCCACTCACAGAGGGAGAAAGGCAGCCGGGTCAGATACTCTTCCCGTCTCTCAGACTGTGTCAAGGAGAAAGTCTCCAGGGGGCCAGGGCATCTTAACATCCTGGATGCTGTCCTTGCCGAGCACAGAGAAGGCAGGCCTCCCCCGTGGGGTCTGGGGCCGCAGCAGCAGTCTCTGGTGAGAATCTAATGATGCTGTCGGTTTCTGCTTTGGCTATTTTGATGTTGCATTTCTATTTCTGGCAAGTGATGATGGTTTGCCTTATATGGTGGGTCTTCATCACCTGACAGAATGCCAGCTGCAGGATCCCAGCCCTGTGCTGGTGGCTGGGAGGCAGGGGGTGGGGGCGGACCCTGGGACTAGCCCACCGCCGGATCTGTGGAGCAGGGAGCCCTGCTTAGCAGGACTGTTCTCAGAGGCTCCTCTGTGCAAACACTACCACCGCGAATAAATTACACCACCAGGCAGGAGCGGCCCTCCCCGACCCTCTCCTCCTGCCCACTTCCCTCGCTGAGGATAACCGTGTTGCCAGTGGAGGGTCCCTTCTAGAACTTTCCTCTCCTGTATGACATAACGGGATCGTGCTGTTTGCACTGTCACATCCTGGTGCTGGTGGTTTTCAACAATGGTAGATTTTAGCACCTAAATAGTTTCCTAGTTTTTGTGCATAATATTCCATAACATGGATGTTCTGTGACTCTCAGCAGCGGTCCACTATTCCCAGAAACCCCATGATGCCTTGGAGGCATAGCCACTAAGCCAGGTGATTCTAATGTGCAGCCAAGGTTGAGAACCACTGCACTAAGCCGTTGGGAGTAACAAGGTTAATAGGGGACCAGGTTATCTGGGAATCTTGGTTCATCGCTCTCCCAAGATTAGCTTCTTCCAAGTGGACTCCTGCAGTAGAAGGAGCGGTGAGGGAGCCCACGGAGCCCTCGCTGGGGCCAGGCCCGGTGCAGGGTCATCCAGGGCTCGTCCAGCTGTCCTGTGAGAGGGCGGTCAGTGCTGCCTGGCCCCACAGAGGGAGAAGTGGGGGCCGGGACAGGGGCAGTCCTGCCTCCCGCACAGCGGGTGGGCCCCTGTCAGGCCCCACCGTGATTCTCCAAAGGAGGGCTGCTCCACCTGCGGCCTCTAGAGCCACAGGACATCTTTCCCTCTGGCTCCAATGTTCCCTTAATGATGATGACGACCATCGCGATATAGCGGTGGACATATTTGGAGCGCTGTCTCTGCACCAGGCACCGGCAGCCCTTCACAACGACAGGTAATTCATTAAAGGGGCCTCCGCAGGCGGAAGAGGTGACGGAGGGCGTGGAGTCGCGGAGTGCTTACTCCCGGACACGCAGCTCACTCACTCACCCCTTCCGGGCGCGCGCTGCGGCACCTGCTCCAAGCTCCAAGGCCTTTCCTTCCGGGATGGGGGCGGGGTGGGAGGGGAAGGTGCGCGCCCCGCGGCTTCAGGGCCAGGAAGCGGTGTGGAGCGGCGGCCGCCTCCAGTCCCCGCCCGGGCCAGCGGGAGGGGCCGCGGGCCGGCGCGCGGAGCAGAGCGTAGGACGACCGGCCGGCGCTAGGACCCGCGGGGGCCTCCCCAGGCCGCAGTCTCCGGCTCCCCCCACCCCAGCCCACCTCACCCCGCCCAAAATGAGGAAACGGAGGAACTTGCTCCAAGTTGTGCTGCCAGGGCCGCCTGGGGGTGCGCAGCCAGGGCGCCGGGGCCTTCGTGGGGGCGGGGGCGGGGCGCGGCCCGGAGACTCCCTCTGAGCAGGTGAGCGGGCGGCGGGGATGTGGGTGAGCCCGCGGGGGTTTGGAGGGCTCCCGGGAGGCCTGGGCGTGCACCCCAGGGACCCGTGTGGTGTGCGCACGAGTGTGCGCGTCCGGGGCGCGCGGCGGGTCGAGGCTGGGGCGGCGGTGGTCCGAGGCGATCCGGGGCGGGTGCAGGGTATTTTCCTGGGTGTAGGGTGTGCGCATCTGGGAGCCCCTGGTGTGTGTATCCGCGCGTCCACGTGGAGGGATGTGCGCGTGTGACAGATGCTTGTGCACGGCCTTGCGTGTAGCTCTGTCCGGGTGGCCCAACGTATGGCGCCCAGGTGTTCAAGTGTGTGTGTTTGGGGGTGGGGAGGGGCGGGAGGGAGACACAGATACGTTTCCAGATGTCTGAGCACCTGTGTGTGTGTACACATTTGTAGACGCGTGTGTACACCTGTCCCTAGGGGGGACGTGCCCTTGCTTGCATACCTGCGGGTCTGTGGGTACCTGTGTCCACGCCTCGTGTGTTTCTCTGTGTGTTTGTGTGTACATGGATCAGTATGTGTGTGAGGACATGTAGGGCTGGGTATTTACGGGGTTGCACACTGGAGGAGCAGAGACTTACCCTGGAACCCGCCCCACGGGCCCAGCCACCTGTGGTGGGGTTGAAGGGGGAGGTAGGGGTGGGAAAATCCTCACCCAAGCAGCAATGAGGGACTGGGGGTGGGGTAGAGGGATTAGAGAGGTCCAGCTGGCCAGCCCCGCAAGCTCAGCAGGGCTGCACTGTCCCACTGTAGGCTCAGAGTTTCTTGACAATGACCTTGAATCATTCCGTATTTCCCTGCCCTGCTCTTCCAGAAAAGAGGAAGAACCAGGCGCGATGAGGTGGCACCGGGCTCCCCAGGCGCCGTGTGGGCTGCGGGGGCCTGAACCAGGCGTGTCCCTCCTCCCCAGCCTGTGGCCACTTGCTCTGTGCCCATGCTGGTCCTCAGTTTCCTTTGGGAACAATGGTAGGGCTAGGCTCCCGGTTTCTTCACTGATGTTTAATGGCTTTGACTCAGCTAAGGAACACCCCTCGGTAAAGACCACCTTCCCAGAGGGGCCTGGAGAACCAGTATTTGTAACTCCCCCACCCCCATGCCTCTGGCTGTTGCCTCCACCCGGCCTGGCTGGCAGCGGTAGCGATGGCCCCCGAGCCCCAGCCTGGCTTGCATCTGCCCTCCAGCTGGTCTCTGTCCCCTCTCCAGGTGAACCCTGGCTTTCTCCAGGCCTGGCACTCCGGCCCATCTCAGTCAGGATGCCCACAGTGAGTACCCCCAACCTGGACGCCTGTATCCCTGGCCCTTGCTCAGCTCAGTCCACGTCCACAGGCCCTCAACTCCATGGGGAGGGAGGGTGTACTCTGACCCACGCCCCCTTTAGCTGATGTCTTCTGGCTTTTCTGTCATTTGGTGTTGCATTTCCTTCACCTTTTCTTCCTGACCTGTCCTGGGTGCCCTCCATTTGTGACTAATCTATCTCTGCTGGCTGCTCCCTTGTCTTACCTCCTCTTCTCCCTCTCTCTTCTGTCTCAATCCAATCTTCCTCTCCCTGGGGCATCTCCTTCATGTCACCTTGGCCCTCTTCCCTATGCCTCCCACCCAGAGGCGCTGGGCCCCAGGCACCCAATGCATCACCAAGTGTGAGCACACGCGCCCGAAGCCTGGAGAGCTGGCCTTCCACAAGGGCGACATGGTCACCATCCTGGAGGCTTGTGAGGTGAGCTGTGGCCAGAGGGCCTGGAGATGGGACTCAGTCAGGAACCCCCCCATTCTCCTCCCCCCGATGCCGACCCCTGTCTCCCTCCCTGGCAGAGCAAGAGCTGGTACCGAGCCAAGCACCACGCCAGCGGGCAGGAGGGGCTGCTGGCGGCGGGTGCGCTGCGGGAGCGTGAGGCCCTCTCAGCGGATCCCAAGCTCAGCCTCATGCCGTGAGTGGTGGGGTTGGCCCAGGGATGAGGGATCCGGAGGGCCCGGCCCGCCCGGCCCAACCCGCCCTCCCGCCACTGCAGGTGGTTCCACGGGAAGATCTCGTGCCAGAAGGCGGTGCAGCTGTTGCAGCCGCCCGAGGATGGGCTGTTCTTGGTGCGGGAGTCGGTGCGGCATCCCGGGGACTACGTGCTCTGCGTGAGCTTCCACCGCGAAGTCATCCACTACCGCGTTCTGCACCGTGATGGCCACCTGACCATCGACGAGACCATCTGCTTTTGCAACCTCAGTGGATATGGTAGAGGTGCAGCTCGG